TATTACCTGTCCTCAGTAGTATTACCTGTCCTCAGTAGTATTACCTGTCCTCAATAGTATTACCTGTTCTCAATAGTATTACCTGTCTTCAGTAGTATTACCTGTCCTCAGTAGTATTACCTGTCCTCAATAGTATTACCTGTTCTCAATAGTATTACCTGTCTTCAATAGTATTACCTGTCTTCAGTAGTATTACCTGTCTTCAGTAGTATTACCTGTCTTCAGTAGTATTACCTGTCTTCAGTAGTATTACCTGTCTTCAGTGGTATTACCTGTCTTCAGTAGTATTACCTGTCTTCAGTAGTACTACCTGTCTTCAGTAGTATTACCTTTCTTCAGTAGTATTACCTGTCCTTAGTAGTATTACCTGTCTTCAGTGGTATTGCCTGTCCTCAATAGTATTACCTGTCCTCAGTGGTATTACCTGTCTTCAGTAGTATTACCTGTCCTCAGTAGTATTACCTGTCCTCAATAGTATTACATGTCTTCAGTATTACCTGTCTTCAGTAGTATTACCTGTCCTCAGTAGTATTAACTGTCTTCAGTAGTATTACCTGTCTTCAGTAGTATTAACTGTCTTCAGTGGTATTACCTGTCCTCAATAGTATTACATGTCTTCAGTATTACCTGTCTTCAGTAGTATTACCTGTCCTCAGTAGTATTAACTGTCTTCAGTAGTATTACCTGTCTTCAGTAGTATTAACTGTCTTCAGTGGTATTACCTGTCCTCAATAGTATTACATGTCTTCAGTATTACCTGTCTTCAGTAGTATTACCTGTCCTCAGTAGTATTAACTGTCTTCAGTAGTATTACCTGTCTTCAGTAGTATTAACTGTCTTCAGTGGTATTACCTGTCTTCAGCAGTATTACCTGTCTTCAGTGGTATTACCTGTCTTCAGTAGTATTACCTGTCCTCAATAGTATTACCTGTCTTCAGTAGTATTACCTGTCTTCAGTAGTATTAACTGTCTTCAGTAGTATTACCTGTCTTCAGTAGTATTAACTGTCTTCAGTGGTATTACCTGTCTTCAGCAGTATTACCTGTCTTCAGTGGTATTACCTGTCTTCAGTAGTATTACCTGTCCTCTGTAGCATTACCTGTCCTCAGTAGTATTACCTGTCTTCAGTAGTATTACCTGTCCTCAGTAGTATTACCTGTCCTCAATAGTATTACCTGATTTCAATAGTATTACCTGTCTTCAGTGGTATTACCTGTCTTCAATAGTATTACCTGTCTTCAGTAGTATTACCTGTCCTCAGTAGTATTACCTGTCCTCAATAGTATTACCTGATTTCAATAGTATTACCT